CGTGTAACATATTTAGGTATGAAATATGATTTTTTTTATATTACTTGTCTATTTTGTTATGAGTGTCTGTTTTAAAATTTTATTTGTGTCTATTTCATATAAAATTTTTCATATATTAATTATGTGTGTTCACCCTAAAAAAATATTTTTAGATCCACCACTTACCTGCAATCATCCTTACCATTAGCCACTTCAATTTACTTTGTGTTTGGATTAGTAGTACACTTTCCTTTTGTTTCTCATCCAATTGTTGCATTTGAGAAAGAGATATATTTGGAAGGGTTTTTCTTTCAATGTAAAGGTCGTTGTGGATGGTTCTTCATCGATGTTCATGCGTTGTGCGTATCAACCATCAATATCTGAACAACAGTTCCCCCCCCCCTTAAACCCTTAAACAAAATGATTCACCAAAAATTGTATATTGATGTGTACATTTTCTTACTGGACAATAGATTCGTGGATATCAACTAAGATGATGAGAAACAAATCTATGGAGGAAAGTGAGTTTCCCATATGAATATCGTTTTTCTCGTAAATTATTTCTACAAAAAAAAGCCTCCACCTAAACAAGTTGTCTTAGTTCCGTTTCCATTAAAAAAAATCTCGAATGCTTTGCTCACATGCACCAGTTACTTCCGAAGAGCTTAAGCACAACTCGCCCAACATTCGACCAGTGTTATAATTTCTTATATCGTTAAAGAAGCTCCCAACGTCATATATGCCCCACATCTGAGCTTCCAACACCAGACAACAAACAATATTCCTCGCATAACCTACCACCTATTTGTCACTATGATCCCTAATAACTTTATCTAACACTGCACCATCATTATCGGTCTTCACTATCCTATCTATATTTAGTTTAAACCAAGTTAGGTTTGGTGCTTTCCCCTTAATGATAAGAGTATTTAACTGTCGTTGTGGCTATTAGAATTGTTGTACCATCTTTTTATATTCCCTCTGCAAGCCTCCGTAAGAGATCACTCTCTGCATAAGACCTCTTCCAATTGATGCCTCATAAGGATCATCCAAGACTAACCAAACGATCCCACGTCCGATTGTCTATAAGCTATTTTCTCTTCTGAAAGTGATGACATTACACTTCACGACCTTATCAAGATCCCCATCAAGTGAGTTCTATAACCCTTGATTTATATCATCCATTGCACTTTTATCATTGGGCTTGAAACCTTTGAAAAATCATATGGTGATCGCTTGTTTCATCAAGGCCTCATAAGAAAGCGATAAGAAACAAGTAATGTATCTGCATCTTCCGACTCTTCCTTTATCAATATCTATGTCAATTTATCTATGCCTGTCTAAGGCCATGTCTCTCTATAATTCCTAATCCAGAGAACACACCATGTCCTCGTTGAAAGGTCAAAATAGCTCGACATTCCATCGCACTAAACACAAAGTGTCACACATTTTCGTTTAAAAAAATAATTGTAATATTTTCCCCAAAATAGTCTAATAAATGCATGTAATGATCAAACAATCAAGTCTCGAGTCAAACCACTTATTGACATTCCCTTGATTAAGGGGAGGCAAAGTATTGTACCTTACTAAAGGTCCTCCATATATCATTCTTGTACATTAAGAGGACCCAAGAACATCTCTAAACCTTCAGAATCTACGAAACTCTGAAAAACATAAAGAAATGTATCCGAAAGAGGGACCTCAAATATATAACATCTCTCGAAAAATTATGATTTATTGATATGACATTCGACAGACCTGCGATATCTACCAGAGTCAAATTTATTATCACCTGGCCATATTCATCTAGCTTGCAAACATACGAGTGGTCATCATAACCCTACACCTGACACTAGTTCTAACGGTTACTATAAAATCTTTCGACCAAGACTAAAAGAAAGAGATAGAACCTATATGAAACCACCTGACCTTCACCCTTCTTCATTTTATCTCTTTATGGAGAAAAATACATTGACATCGACCAATTATCCCCATTAACTTGTTTATATTAATCCTCGTAACTTTATGCTTTCTTTTGAAATGGTTGTACTACCAAAAATCCTATGTTACCAAACGATATTTTATTTCATGAATGTTTTCTTTTAATAAAATCATTAAAAAATGCAATTTTTGTATTTTTGAGTAAAATTGTAAAATAGTAATTATATTATGGTCAAATAAGCATTTTAGTCACTAAATTTTTAAAAGTTTTAAAATGATCATTAAATTTATCAAACTATTACAAAATGGTTATTAAATTTTATAGAATTATTACAAAATGTTATTAAATTTTATCAAACTATTTCAAAATGACTATTAAATTTATCAAACTTGTACACAATGATCATTTGTAAGAGTTTGGTAAATTTAATAACCATTTTATAATCTTTGAAAGTTAAGTGACTAGAACAATCATTTAAGCATAATTCAATGATCTCTAATGTACTTTACTGAAAAAAATCCAATGAACTATATCAAAATGATATCTTTGGTTAATAAACTTTCTAATATTTATAAAGTAGTCATAAACTATGTAAAATAATTCTTAAACTTATTTAAATTTAGGGTAAAGTATAGTAATGGTCACTGAACATTTCAGAAGCTTGCATTTAGGTCCCCCAACATTTAAAACTTGCAATACAGTCCTCCAACATTTATTCCGTTTGCAATATGGTCCCCCAACTTAAACCACAGTTAGAAAATTAGGATAAATTATATAAATGGTCATTGAACTTTTCAGTCACTTGAATTTAGGTCCCCCAACTTTTAAAACTTGCAAAACAATCATCAATTTCATTCTAAACCCCAATTTCCAAAGTAATTCAATTTTATTCTAAACCCTAAATTCCAAAATACTTAAATTAAATTCAATTATGTCAAAGTTATTATTATTTAATTTCATCTTATTTCATGTGATACGTATTTTTTATATAAATATAATAGTATAATTCTTATCTGTTGAAGAAATTTTTTAATTAAAAAAGTAGTTAGGATATAAAAGAGGTTGAAAATAATTCGAATTTTAAATTTATAAAATGTTATTTTGACGTATAAATAAAAGTGTAAACTACTCGGTTGACAACTTAACTATCTAGCCCTTTTTACTTTTGTCATCGATCTTTTAAATTTATCAATCATACCACATAATTATTTAACTGTTTCAACTAAGCCACTAGTCGTTACCAATTGATAAAAATGATGATGTGGTAGTTAAAAGGAATTGACATTATTATACATTCAGTCTTTATTATTTATATAATCAATTTGGTCCTAAATTAAATAAAATTAAATAAATTAATTATTTAATTAGGATCTGACATGTGTTAGCACATGATCATGACACGTGTCATTGGTGACACGTGTTACCACCTAATTATTTATATATGCTATCAATTTGGTCCTAAATTAAATAAAATTTAATAAATTAATCATTTAATCAGGATCTGACATGTGTTAACACATGATCATGATATGTGTTATTGGTGACACATGTCACCTCCTAATTAGAAGAAAATTAAGTTACAAAGAAGTAAAATTTGGGTCTTGGGCAAACTCAAACCTGAGTCACGCAAATGAAAGATATAGGGTGGAGCCACTAAGCTAACACCATCGTTTGTGTTAAGAGATATACAATAATACATATACTAATAGTATGACCAATGCCAGAAAAAAAAAAGAATATAATGTAAAATGGAAATAATGAGATTTGAACTTCGGCAAAAAATTTGAAAGCAATAAATGATGGGAAAATATTATATTTTTTACAATAAAAAATATTATATTTGATAAATTGTTTGATAGATTTAATATATTTTTTAAATATTAGTTGATACAATATTTTAAAAGAATAAATTTAAGATTTATATATTTTAAACTAAATTTAATAATTATATTTTTCATATTTATAATTCATGATTATATATATAATCTTAAGTTGAGTATTTCTAATATAATTAATAATTTTAATTTCTTATTAAAATAAAATATTCAAAAAATATAAATGATTCATACATTAATATATGAATATTTTTTATTTATACATCTAAATAAATATACATTTATATAAATATATTTTTATTCGTTGTGTCTGTACCTTGAACTCTTTCTTCAAGCCTATATTACCTTAAATTGAAGTATTTTAGAATTTAATTGAAGTATTTTAGAATTTAGGGTTTAGAATAAAATTGAATTACTTTGGAAATTGGGGTTTAGAATGAAATTGATGACTGTTTTGCAAGTTTTAAAAGTTGGGGGACCGAAATTCAAGTGACTGAAAAGTTCAATGACCGTTTATATAATTTATCCTAATTTTCTAACTGTGGTTTAAGTTGGGGGACCATATTGCAAACGGAATAAATGTTGGGGGACTGTATTGCAAGTTTTAAATGTTGGGGGACCTAAATGCAAGTTTCAGAAATGTTCAGTGACCATTACTATACTTTACCCTTAAATTTATTACTATTTTATAATATGAAGGGACGATTTTACAACATTTAATCATTTATTGACTAAAAATATTGGGTAAATTACATATTTAGTACATAAATTGTCAGTTTTGGTCTGATTTAGTACCTAAACTTTTAATTTTTCAAAGTAATACCTAATATTTAGTTTTTTTTTCATTTTAGTACCCTACTGTTAAAAACTTAACGCTTTTAGTATCTAATCTATCAGTTTTGGTCCATTTTAATACCTAAACTTTCAATTTTTTTTCAAAACTTAACATTAAATTTTGAACAGGGGTACTAACATTAAAAATAAGACTAAACTTTAGCTATGATTTTGAAAACATTGTAAGTTTAGATATTAAATCAAATCAAAACTAATAATTTAGGTACTAAATGCATAATTTATCCCAAAAATATTTTAACATAGTTCAGAGACACTTGTTATACTTTGCACGAAAAAAGGGTAGGTGCAGACACGAGAGCAGCTGTTCTGATTTGTGGCCTGAACATATAACATTTGTATAGTAGTTGGTAGTTACGGTATTTTTATTCACTTGCCTCTCCAAGTAGTTCGGGTCTCCGATATTTTTGTCCCCTTTTAATAGAAAAAAAGCCCAAAATTTTAGGGAATTCTCCCCCTTCTTCAATGGCAGCTTATCGACTTGGGGTTGCCGTTTCAGTCTTGTGTTGCCTCCTTTTGCGGGTCTCATCCTGTTCAGCTTCTAGAATCGTTCTTCCTTCTGATTCAAATAAAGTCTCATTAACTTTGTATTACGAATCCCTTTGCCCCTTCAGCGCCAATTTCATAGTCAACTACCTGACGAAGCTCTTCGAAGATGATATCATCTCCGTCGTCGATCTCCGCCTCGTTCCTTGGGGGAACGCTAAACTCAAAGGCAACGATACCTTTGAATGCCAGGTCTACTTATTATATATTTCATTGTGCTTCTGTAACACTCCATACCGATACAGATGTTCCGATCTGATTTGAGGTGTCAAATTAGGGCCACTGGAAAAAATTCTAGAAAATTTAAAATTGTTGTTAATCCATTCAAAACTATAAAATAATTTATAGATAAAATAAAAGTTCAAAAAATCATTTATATATTAAAATAAAATTCACCAAAATCCAGTGGTAAAACAAGTTTCAAACTCGAATATAAAAAAATAGAATACAACTTACATGCCCCAAATTACATGCACCGTAGAAAGCTCAGTAATACAAAACTACAGATGAATGCAATAGGTAATCAGGTATATGGTAAAGTATAACTTCCCTTAGCGGGACAGACATCATCATATTCTAGCGGTGATTTCAAATTCCCTTAGCGGAGTATTCAGTTACAAACATGAATTTACGGTCTGAAGGAAGTATTCAGAGAGATAGATTTTGAAGATTGAATTGGGGAGTTTAGTGTGTTCCAACAAAATAGAGAAATGTGTACAGATCCCTTAAAAACATTAATAGTTTAAAACATATTTTAAAACAACAATAATATCCTTCAATCGAACACCGATATGTAGTTCCCCAAAACTGCATCTATAAAGACTTAACTTAGGCTCATTGGGCGTAGGTACCGACCTCAGGGAATATCTTGGGGCCTTAGAGCTTACCCAAGGAAATTCTTTGGGGCCTCAGAGCCTACCCAAGGTCATCTTAGGTTTGTAAAGAATTACCAGTTTGATCAGAGCTAAACCTTCATACTCTAGAATCCTACAAAGACAGTATCCCAATAATCGGTTCATATAATAAACAATAGATTTCATGATCCATAAATTAGGAACGATTATATTTTCTAGTGAAAACATATAACCAGAGAGCCCATATCATGTAGCCATAGTTCATAAACAGTAAATCAATACATCAGTAAATCAGAATATCGAATAGTTAAAAGATTTAATAAAAAAGTAACTTCGGTAAATCACCTTTCAGGACAGATAAAATAATCATATAGCACATAGGGAACACACTAGAGGATCCAATTATTTTTTGGAGGTACTTAGCAATTATCAAGCGGGGGGACAAAACTTCTGCAAACTGATTAAATTTCAGAAACGATAACCTTATAAAACGGGGGTTTGATAGCTAACGGATTCATTAATCATTCAGGAAGTGATTTATCAAGATCATAGTATTTAGATATATCAGCAATGTATTCAGGAATTATTTCAACAAAATTCTAAGATTTAGACGTTCCCAAAGTGATTCCATCAATGAGGCATATAAGGGCAATTCCTGAGAAATTTGATAAATCAATTTAATAAGGGTATGCAACGATTTACAAAATTCCAGATTTCAAGCATCTTAACAGGTTTTCAATTCCAATCGCACTGTATAATTCCAGTAAAGACAACACTTATCAATTACGTAGATAGAGAAACTTCAAGAATATTCATTTCTTAAAACTGGCTGCATTGTAAAATTGAACTGATCATATTCAGAACCATCTTTGGACGGATCATGAGAAGAAGAACATGTATTTAAGTGATAATTATTTACTTCCCGTATTGTAACAATATTAGGGATGATCTACCTACTTAGGTCATACTCTATAAACCTCAATGGTGCTACAACATTTAAAACTTCATCGGTATCTTCAGAAGTTATCCAAAGACATTTCTTAATCCAAGTCATAAGGGTATTTAGATCATTTTGGTATTTGAGGTAGATTTAATCATTTCAGAGCTTAAGGGTATTTAGTTATTATAGGGTTTAGGGGTATTTTGGGTCATTTTACACTTAAGAGGTATTTTATTCATTTCCTTTCGTCCAGTGTTTCCATTTAATTCAAACTTGTCATTTATTTCAGTCATTTCAAATAATTCTGACAATAAGAGTACTTTCAATAAGTTAGTATTCAGGTGTTTGCTCATAAATAAAAAATTCTAGGTCTAATGCTTTCTCAAAAGTTACGAACTAATTCTTAAAAAAATTTCGAACAAATTAAGAATTTAACAAGTGAATTAGTAATTTATTAAATTAAATATTAATTCTCAATGTACTTTCACTATCAGGGTCAATTCGGGCCATTTTTACCACTCAAGGGTAATTTCATAATTTCTTAATCAGGTAATTTCAATATTATAATTTTTATCGAGGTTAAATAAAATTTAGAGATTCTAAGGTTAATTTTTTTTTGGATAATCACTGATCTTGAAATTATTTCTTATCAATCTTCTAGTGTCTTATATGAGTAGTTCAAGTATTATTCAGTTTAATAATTTATATCGCATACGAATCTAGTTTAGGAATATTAACTACACACATGTGACCAAACATAATCATTCATGCATTAACAAATATCAATATGTTCCGTAAAGCATGCAAATGGTAGTAATGTATTAGCTCGATTTTCGAGCTACATTGGTCTAACATTTAAACTCTATTCAATCGCTCTCAAACATGAATCCAACGTCCAATAGTATCTCAGATACATATCAATAGAAATTACATCATGAACAAAGCTTAATTACGAAAAATGAATCAAATAGGGAGGTTAATCGGTGAAAATAGCTTACCAGGTTCGAATTTGGCGTAACAGACCTCAAAAATAGACTTAGGACATTGAAAAAAAATCAGGATTGGTGTTCTCGAAAAAATTCAACGGTTGGTCAACAACGGTCAATGACTGGTCAGCACATTCCCCAGGCTGACCGATGACGCCCACATGTAAGGAGCGGCACGTACGACGGCTCCGGTTGTCTAACAGAGACGAAATTTTTAGATCGATAGATCGTTGGCTCAGAAGTCTCGTGCAAGTTCTATTTTGTGATGAAGAGCATCAAAAACCCACTTACGAATGGTCGAAACATCGTCGACGTTCATTCTCCCCATGATGGCGACGTGACGATGGTGAGAGACCAAAATAGTTGGGTTTTGGTCTGACGGCGATGGGGAGTCCATTGCTAGGGGCGGTGAGGTAGAACGACAACGGGTTCGGCCAGAAATTGAAAAAATCGACGGTGACCGGTGGATTTTCAACGAACACTTAAATGCCAATTCACGATGATCGATGACCATTTACGGTGAATAACTAAAGGAGTTTTGAAGTGGGACAACGGGGAACGTTTTAGTGCACGTCACTGGTGACCAGATGTGAGTGAAATACGGTGGGAAGGGGGCTACTAAGATGATTCTGTTGGGAGGCTTTTCTTCGGGTTTTGGTTTCCAATCTGATTGGGGGAAAAGTTTTTTAAGGATTTAAAATCTCAAACAGATAACTTTAAAAAAATATTACCAGACAGTGCCCTGGCCTAGTAGCTAGGGCATGGCTCTCTATTATCTTTGGCCTGGGTTCGAAACCCACTGGCCACACTATTCCTTCAAATTTTTTTCTGCAGAATAAAAATGGAAAATACATGGCTGAGTCCCTAAACTTTTTGAATATTCGAGAATTATTCTAAAATATTTATAATTTAACAAATATGTCCATTAAAATTAATTAAATTAATACTTAATAAAGCTCAAGAATTTTCGGGTGTGACAATTCTCCTCCCCTTAAAAGAATTTTGTCCTCGAAATTCACTCAAGTCATAGAAATGTAGAAGTAAAGCTTTCAACAATTCTTCAATATCTTCAAGTAGCTTTTACAGAAGTATTGTCTTTTACTAATCCTTAACCATCTAAATATACATTCTCATCAGAACTCCCTTTCATAATAATAAAAGAATTTGAACAGAATTTTCCTTGTGGAAACAATTCGACCTTGGCTACGAGGTTATATTCAGATAGCAGTAACATATTCCAATTTTTTTTTATGGAGTCAGGGGTTAGAATATCTCGGATAAGTAACTCTCACATTACTCGTGAGGCACTTTACATAATTTGGACAAATGTTACTGGCATTCCTTTTATGCATAGGTTGACCTCTAACAAATAGAAAACTTAGTCTAGCTTATGATAGAAAGGAACTCAACCCTGGAGTTCCGGCTTAGAAAAGTATGGTTATAGTCTAGGGGCATGTACTGAACATATATCTTCTGACAGTCGACCGACCGGTCTATCCAGAAAAACTCGACTCAACCTAAGTTCTGATACCACTAAATGTAACACTCCCAAACCGATACGGGTGCCTTGATCCAATTCGAGGTGTCACATTAGGGCTACTGGAGTAACCACACTGAAAAATCCTGGAAAATTTAAAATTTTTGTTAATCCATTTAAAACTATAAAATAATTTATAGATAAAATAAAAGTTCAGAAAATCATATATATATTAAAATAAAATTCACCAATATCCAATAGTATAACAAGTTTCAGACTCGAATATAAAAATATAATACGACCTACATGCCCCCTAATTATCTGCATCTACTCCGTAAGAAATGCCGGTGGAACTCTTTTACTGATGTCAGTAAAAGCACAATATCAAACTCTTTAACCTGAAATGGTAAGTAACAAAGTGAACTTTGGAAAGCTCAGTAATACAAAACTACCATATGAATGCAATAGGTCATCAAGTATATGGTAAACCATAGCTTCCCTTAGCGGGACAGACAACATCAGATTCTAGTGGCGATTTCAGATTCCCTTAGCCAAGTATTCAGTTACAAACATGAATTTACGGTCTGAAGGAAGTATTCAGAGTGACATATTTAAAAGATTGAATTGGGGAGTCTAGTGTGTTCCAATAAAACAGAGAAATGTGTACAAATCTTTTAAAAACATTAGTAGTTTAAAACATATATTAAAACCAAAGTAATACCCTCTAACCGAACACCGATATACAGTTCCCCAAAACTGCATTCATAAAGACTTACCCTTGTCCTATTGGGCGTAGATGCCAACCTCATGGAATATCTTGGGGCCTTAGAGCCTGCCCAATGGAGTACATTAGGGCCTAAGAGTCTACCCAAGGAAGTATCTTTGGGCCTTAGAGCCTACCTAAGGAAATGCCTTGGGGCCTCAGAGCCTACCTAAGGTCACCTTAGGTCCGTAAGAAATTACCAGCTTGATCAGAGCTGAACCTCCATACTCTAGAATCCTACCCAGACAATATCCCAATAATCAATTCATACAGTAAACAGTAGATTCGATAATACATAAATCAGGAGCGATTATATATTCTAGTGAAAGCATATAACTAGAGAGAACATATCATGTAGTCATAGTTCATAAATAGTAAATCAATACATCAATAAATCATAATATCGAATAGTTAAAAGATTCATCAAATCAGTAACTTCGATGAATCACATTTCAGAACAGATAAAAGAATCATATAACACATATGGAACACACTAGAGGATCCAATTACTTTTCGGAGGTACTTAGCAATTATCAAGCGGAGTGCACACAAACTTCTACTGACTAATTGAATTTCAGAAACGAGATCCTTATAAAAAAGGGGTTTGATAGCTAGCAGATTCATCAATCATTCAGGAAGTGATTTATCAAGATCATAGTATTCAGATATATCAGCAAAGTATTCAGAAATTATTGCATCAAAATTTATTTAAATTCAGACATTCCTAAAATGATTCTATCAATTAGGCTTATAAGGGCATTTTAGTCATTTAATTCCTAAGAAATTTGATAAATCAATTTAATAAGGGTATGCAATGATTTAAAAAATTCCAGATTTCAAGCATCTTAACAGGTTTTCAATTCTAATCACACTGTACAATTCCCAACAAATGCGATATTTATCAATTACGTAGATAGAGAAACTTCATGAATATTCATTTCTTAAAATTGACTGCACTATAGAATCGAACTGATCAATTTTATAACCATCTTTGGACGGATCATGAGAAGAATAACATGTATTTAGGTAGTATTTATTAACTTCCCATAATGTAACAATATTAGGGATGATCGACCTACTTAGGTCGTACTCTATAAACCTCAAGGGCTTTACAACATTTAAAACTTCACTAGTATCTTTAGAAGTTATCCAAAGGCATTGCTTAATCTAGGTCATGAGGGTATTTAGATCATTATTGTAACATCCCAATTACTGAGTAAGTGACTAAATTGTAAGAATTTATAAATTTAGTTGGTGAATTAGAATAAAGTGATAAGTCTAGTGATTTATGGAGGAATTTTGTGTGTTGGGTATGATAGTAAATATGGAATTATAATAAGGGTAAAAGGGTCATTGAGCAAATAAAAGAATAAAATAATAATTATGGGTATTATAATACCCATGTGAATGAATTGAGGAGATAAGTTTTCAGAGACTTATCTTCTTCATCTTCTTCTCTCAACGTGAGGCACCCAAGCTCAAAGTAAGAATGTGAACCTTGGTCGTTTCTTTGTTTTTTAGTTTGGAAATGGAAGTTTGGATGTTATATAAGCTAAAGGAAAGCTTATATGACATTAAAACAACAAGATAAATGTTTTAGAGAAAGATTTGAGAAATGGGTTTTTAGATGAAATTTTGATATGGATGAGTTTTTGAAGTTTGAATAAGATTTTCGACTTGTCAAGAGGTTAATTAAAGGGTTAGGAGTGATAGAATTGATTAATAACATGTTTGAAATTTGGGTATGATTATTGGTTTTAAGAATTTGAATGAAGTATTGGAAATAATAAAGTGTTAAAATGATAGAAGTTAGTTAAAATGGTTGTAGTTAAGTTTCGTAGTATGAAAGAAACTTTTTATGAGAAAATTTAGTGAAGAGTTGATGATTTTCGGGTTTGAATAGTAAAATTACAGATTATGCAGAGGGAACCGATACCCCCTGGGGGGAACCAATACCCCCTGGGGGGAATCGATTCCCCCTAAAGGAAAAGTTAAAGTTTGGTTCATTAAATTCGTTTAAGCTATTAGTATAAGTTATAAGGTTTAGGCTTTTGATAATTGTCTCGGAAATTATATTTATGTAGATACCGAACCTAAACGAGTTCCGGAACAAGTGACAAGTAAGAACGATCGAGGGATTAGAAAAGATTGAGAAAGAGATAAGTTCTAGAATTGGTTCAAATCCAACAAGGCTAAGGTGAGTGCATATTATTATAGTATATGATTATATGGAAATTAGACTTGCGATGAGTCTATTTTCAATGTTCTGAATTCATGATTTCATGAATACTAATATGTGATTAATATGACTTCTATGGGTACATGATTATGATCACATTTATGTGTTACATGCATCGTTCTACCTGATTTATGTATTACATATCATTCTATGTGATTACATGAAAATGTGAGACAAGTTATGCAACATGGAGTTATATGATTACATGAAAAGATGATATGAGTTATGTGATAAAGGTAAGAAGTTGCCTATCTACGCGGTATAAACTACGTGAAATGTAAAAGCCCATGTTATGTAGATGAGAACTACATGTATAGTTGGCATGCCAAAAGTAGAGGGTCTACGCGGTCCTTCGGGACAAATTCTACGTGGTCATTCGGGACAAATTCTACGTGGTCCTTCGGGACATATATGTATTCTTTGGAACATGTATGAGGTCTTTTGAGACACCTACTTGATCCTTGGTATATTTATATGATTCTTAAGGAATTTCTATGTGGTCCTTAGAGACATATTATATGGCACTACAGTGCAATTATACGTGGCACTTCGTGCAAATTTATATGAGCTGTGGTGACAGCATAGTGCACAACCTCACAGTACTCGCATACCTCGGGTTCTCAGTATTGTATCATGGGCTATTGAATTTATTAAACATTGAACTTATTGAACTTATTATATGAATTCATGATGATTAAATTAAGAAGATTATTGGTAAGGTACGTTGTTATGCAACTTACATGGATTATATAGATGTTTTCATTACATTTCATCTTATTATGGCATCATTATTATATTTCATTGTTATTATTATTATGTCTCACTAAGTCTATGACTTAGCATGTAAGTGATTTACATGTAGGTACCAAGAATCAAGAATAGTTGAATAGAAGTGGCAAGAACAACAACACTGCTAGAAGATCAGATCATAAGTAATTAATAAGTATGTATTTTGATTGTGTATAATATGCTGGCATGTAAGAAATGTAATAAGTTGTTAGTACGAACGCTCTGATCGACTTTTCTAATGTTTTGAACGTATTTATATTAATGTAGTAATGAACGGTTAAATTTTTACGAGTTTTATGTACATGTTATGGAAATACTGTATCAGTACTGTAGCAATATTATAGCAGTACTGTAGCAGGGGTATCGATACCCTGTAGCATGGTATCGATACCCTATTTGCAATCTGGAAAAATTTGTGTAATCGGTACTGTAGCAGGTTACTGTTCACAATAATGTAGCAGGTCACTGTTCATTATTGTTCATTACTGTTTATATGTATTTTACTGTTCACAAATATGTTTTTGTCTCAAAATTTTATAACAAACATAATTCAATAGTTTATTATCGTATTTTCTTAAAATAAGTTCAAATGTTTTGTTATTTTGTAAGAAAAGTGTTTTAAAAATGCAATGTAACCTCTCAGACTCGTATTCTGGTCGGATACGGGTTGGGGGTGTTACAATTATGGTATTCGAGGTAGATTTATTCATTTCGGAGCTTCAGGGTATTCAGTAGTTCCAGGGCTAAATGACATTTTAGGTAATTTTACACTTCAGGGATATTTCAATCATTTCCTTCTATCAAGTCTTTCCATTTAATTCAAACTTGTCATTTATTTCAAACAATTCTGACAATAAGAGTACTTCCGATAAGTTAATATTTAGGTGTTTGCTTATAAATAAGAAATTCTAGGTCTAGTGCTTTCTCAAAAGTTACAAACTAATTCTTAAAAATTTTCAGAACAAATCAAGAATTTAACAGGTGAATTAATAATTTCTAGGATTAAATACAAATTCTCTGGGTATTTTCACTATCAGGGTCAATTCGGGCCATTTTCATCTCTCAAGGGTAATTTCATAATTTCTTAATCAGGTAATTTATGTATTAAAATTTTTAACGAGGTTAAATAAAATTTAGAGATTCTGAGGTTAATTGTTTTTCTGGATAATAACTAAAATTGAAATTATTTCTTATCACTCTTCTAGTGTCTTATATGTGTAGTATGAGTATTATTCAGTTTAATACTTTATATCACATACAGATCGAGTTTAGGAATATTAACTACACACATATGACCAAACATAATCATTTATGCATTAACAAATACCAACATGTTCTGTAAAGCATGCAAATGATAATAATGTATTACTTCGATTTTTGAGCTACACAAGTTGAACATTTAAACTCTATTCGATCTTTCTCAAACTTGAATCCAACGTCCAATAATATCTCATATAGATATAACATAAATTACATCAGAAATAGAGCTTAATTGCAAAAAAAATGGATCAAATCGAGAGGTTAATCAGTGAAAAATGGATCAAAAAATGAATATTTGAGAATTATCCTGAAGTATTTAGAATCTAACAAATTTGTCCCTTATAAAATTAATTAAACTAATACTTAATAAAGCTGAAGAATTTTCAGGTGTGATAGTTTCAATTTAAACCTTCTTTTCAATTCGGCTTTTATTTGACTTCTGTTTATTTATTTTGGTTGCAGCATGGCCCTGCTGAACTTTTGTTAAACACTATGGAAGCTTGTGCAGTTGATGCCTGGCCTAAACTGGTATTTTTTTTGTTTCATATTTTTCACCATGTTTTTCAGTAGTTAAATTTGCCTCAAAAGTTCAATTAAAGCTGTTATCTTTTATGATGGAAGATGCCATAACTCATAATAACTGAAATCTATGTTCCAACCTTCGAAATATAAGACATGGTTTATGTTAACCTTTAGCTTTTGCCATGCAGAATGACCATTTCCCGTTTATCTATTGCGTTGAGGCTTTGGTATTTGAGAGGAAGTAACTTGAATGGGAATCGTGCTTTGAGAAATTGGGATTGGAAGCAAATCCCGTTATTGATTGCTACAGCAATGGACTTGGGAAAAAGTTAGTCACTACTCCTTGTGCTACAATTTAAGTATTTGACTATATCGTTCATGTGATGCAACTTGGATTATATTTCTCAGTCCTCTTGGTAGTATATTCTGTCAGAATATGTTTTCTTTTTCACTTTTTGTTAACTAATGAATTGAATATCCTGGTATTTAAGTTGGTACTAATTTGAAGAACCTGAGACGTGAGCATTCAGTTGCCCTTAGAGAAGTTTAGCATTTAACCATAACTTTGACTTGTAAGTTGTAACCTTTCGGTACTCTTATTTGAGATTTATGGTGCACAAAGAAAGTGCTTCATCATGATATCGATGCCCATTATAATAGACATTATCATCTCCAACTGATTTTAACCAAGGGGATGTAACGTGTTGTTGTGTTTAATAGCCCTCAAAGAAATTTAACATGTAACCACAGCTTTTTGTAATCTTATGATGAGATTTATGGTGCTCGAGGAAGGTGCTTTAAGTATCTGAGTTGTATCCTAGTTTGATTTGGAGTACCTGAAGAAACTTTAAGTAAAGAAAAGTGTTTCTATTTAGTGATTCTAGCAACAACTCTGCTGAATTGCTGATTTGTTGTGAATTCTGAAGTCACTATTGGAACAGAAATCAGAAAGCCATAAATGAAACTTCACCTGCTAGACCGAGTGAAAGTGGAATGATAAAGTAGAAAGGAACACTGCTCCACATTATAATTATTTTAATTACTTAAAATTGCTATGACTTTTATCTCCGTGAATAGGATGAGGTTATAACTTCACGAGACCTGTTATTTGTTGTGTACAAAATAGCCACTGAGAACTTGACTTTCAGTTTTCTTAGATCTCAACTATATTTTGAAGATTTACATGTCTGTCAGCTTCTACGATTCTGTTGTTTGATTTTCCTTCATTGTTATTTAAATACTAATATACTATCCATTGGTATGTGTTTATATTCCTCGGGGATGATAGTTTGCTCAATTTTCTTAGAAATATCATGTTAGAACAATATCCTACGTGCATAATTAAATGGTCTAATGAGGAATTGTTATCTTTATCCAGCTTGATCTGCAATAAATATGTACCTTGTGTCGTTGTGGATGAGCAGCAACTTTACGAGGTTTGTTTCCTTGACTGTCAAACAAATTGATTGACAAATCCCAATTACTTGGTATCAATGTTGGTATTGATGGCTTACGTGCTCTACAAAAATGGCTTTATATCGGTGATCATATTACAGGACTATGAAAACTATTTAAGCTGTGTGTGCAAGGCTTACAACGGTGCGGCTGTGCCCCAGGCTTGTAGTGGACAAAACTTGAATCAAATCCAAGATAAAGAAACTATCCATCCAGTTTGCTATAGGGAGATACCAGCATCAACATTATCATCAAGAATCATATCAACTATTATGTCATGGATATAGAAGATGGCAACTGCTATGCAGGTGTTTCAATTTTAAGAATGCATAAAGGCACTTGTTAATATATGTATATGTATGGAATGAAGTTCATGTAAGTTGTGCCTAACTGTTAAGCACCGTTTAAGTGTATCTATAATTCTATATATGTACACTGTTAAGCACTAGGACTGAAGTTTATGTAAGTTGTTTAAATATTTAGAGAGGAACTACTTTGGCTAAACTGTGTACCAACTTATAATGCATATATGTAGTTCTTTAAAAAATTTAAATTATTATACATTTTAAATATTTTATATTAATTATAGATAATTTATTTTTATCTCTAAAATTTTAGAAATTTGTTTCTTAACATTGCTTCCCCAAATATATTTACTCATTGTGTCTTCCTACTTATATTCGTCCCTAAAATTTAAAGGGGGATCTTTTGAACACTAATGATGGTTCCTTCCTTCGCATCACACACGGTCTCCATTGTAACTTTCTACTTGTATTTCTCCTGTTAAGAGGAGCAGGTAAAATAAAAGAAAAAGAAGGTTATTTCATGTCAGACCCCCCTGATACGTTGTCGGCGACCACTCCAACAGTTTTTCAAACCCATTGCAGGGATCCAACGCCATTGGCTATTTTGTTCAATAAGTAAATAATGGTTCTGTTCTGTAGATCATCTCCATGTGGTACGTATGAATATGCTTTACAACTTTTACCCAACTGTATATGCTCAGATCAGGAGAGGAAATGCAGTGAAAGAGGCCCACCCAGTCCAAAAGAATCTTTCATTGTCTCCATACTTGAATCTCACATACAGTATTATGGAAAAAGCTAAAATAAATACCGTGCGATAATGAAAAGTAAAATAAATATCAGTTTAATTCGTGATATTTAACTTACCTTAATTTTTGCTTTGAAGTGAGAAAGGTTGGGAGACCCCTCAGAGCAAGAGGAAAGGAGAAAGAGCTGCCTTTCGAGGTTTTGAGCAAGGTGTTGGAAAAAATGTGATAAACTGATAACTTTGAGGTATATTTTTTAAGTGTAAAGATGAAGAATCGAATAATGAATTTACTGATTCATATTCTACTCTGTGATATCTTTACAACGGTATCTCATATGCTCAAAACGGTTGAGTGATGAATAAGAAATTGATGCTCAAAGTAAGATGCATGTGAATTGTGTTGCGTAAGAAAAATAAGAAAAACACTTTTTTGTCCCAATAGGACATTTAGAATAAAAACTTAGTTTTTACCCATCTTCAACTTTTAATTAGGGATCTACAACATTTTCTATAGTGTCATTAATTTATTATTTTTAAGCAAACTCACATTTTTAGGCGGGCTCTCCATTTCGACGTGACGAGCCCATTAATTTTAATTATTATTGAAAAAAATTAAAATTAGAAATTAAAAAAAAGAGGGTAACTCGTCACATCAAGGTGACGAGTTCTTTCAAATTCAAAAAACTAGTCATGTTTTAGCCGTTGGTAATGAAACTCGTCACGTTGAAGTGACGAGTTCACCTAGGTTAAATTTAAAAAAAATAATTTAAAAATAATATTTTTTTATTAAAATAACATTGTTTACAAACTAATAAAATTTATTTATATTTTCTAAGTTCTTGACGATGCCGAGGAGTGGTCGAATGATAATGGCGCGGGGCTCGTCGAATACGTAGGGGTTGTCGACCTTGATCGTCATTCATCGTCGTCTTCATCTTTCCGATGAGGTGTACTTAACACACTTTGAGATCCACCTTCGAAATACGGTGATGGACTTATAGTATTTGATGACATCATTGTTGTTACTGAATTGACTTGGAGACTATGTTGTTGACCATATACGATATGATCCCATTCACCCTCAGTCACATGTTCTGTCGAAGATGTTTGAGTGTGTTGCATTGCATCCCATGAACCTCCAACCCAAGTTGGTTGAGTCTCGGTTGAAGTATGATATGCAGGATAGAAACCGAAACTAGCTTCATATGTATAATTGTAATCTTCAGATGCAGATGTTGAAGTAGAAGAAGAAGACGTCGATGATTTCTTCTTGGACTTGGGGAATCTGGCCTGATGTTGTTCCCATTCTCCCCTCTGTTGTGGTGTCATGAGATATGGTTTTTCATTTTCTTCGTAATTTCGGAGATAGGCAAAATGGTCGAAATCTAGGTCTAACAGTGTAATCTCGTAATGTGGGGGAGCGATATGTGACCCTAATTCCATAGCTCGATGTAATAAACGTGCTTTACCGACCAATTTTCGGTATGTTTCCCACGCATATCAATTATATAGAGCACATCCATCTCAACGATTTTCATAGGAATCGATTGATGCGACGCATACTATCGCAGTACTCTATCAGTGGCATGCCACTCAACAATTGCAAAATGTAATAACAACGTTGCGACACACCATAAATTGAACCCCTAAAAAAATTACGATGACAATAATAGATAGATCTCATCGTCAACATGAGGAAGCCAAGAAAATTGTAAATATTAAATATCAAAGTTAATATATATAAAGTTTTAATTTTTTAAAAAAATAATAAAAGAACAAATGTATATCGCATATCGACCGACTATGTTGATCCTCATCCATATATCTTTTGCAGTGGCACTTGAAAACTTCATCTCGGTTATTTTATGGAGCCATCTAAAATATTTAAAAATAGAAACAAGATTAAAAATAGATAAAAAAAAATTAATTAAGTGAATCAAATTTTTTAAAAAAATTTAAAAATTACCTTTCAGCAAGAGGAAACTCGATCGGAGTTGTTGTAATCAGCATCAAAAACGAGAATTGATACCAAGCTCATGATTATAGCAATATTAGATAGCCTTTTACATCGAATTTTCAACCCCACTCGATAATTGCAGCATTGCAAAGCTCCTGGTATAAAAAGGCTAAAATCGCTGATCCTCAATTGATATTACGATAGTCAACGAAGTCATTTAATATTAAAATATACTAAGTGTGCGCCAAATTTCCGGATTTATCTGGTAACAATATCCCTCCGATCAGTTGGAGAAGATATTCTCGGGATGCAAAAGTAACATCGTCCTCAATAGAGTTGGCCGTCACTTGGAATTGGATTCCAACCACGTCATCCATTCTCGATAGCCATCGATGAACTCGGATGGTGGAAACTTTCTCAAAACTTGGTAGACCAACGTCGTGGGGTCGTAATTATTCTGCCTCACCACAGGGTCTCCATTCACAAGAACACCGTGTAACATCCCAAAAGTCGGGTCAGTGACTAAAATGTAAAATTTGGAAACCTTATGCTCAATTCTGAAATAAGCTAAAAGTTCAAGGACTTAAGTAAAGGATTTTGGATTAAATATTAAAGATGGATTAACTAAAGGGGTAAAATGGTCTTTTCATAGGAAATATTTTTATCCTCCCTTTTTGAGTAATATAAACGTGGGAAATATGAGAAACATCCAGAGTTCTCTTCTCCTTTCTTCTTCTTCATGCCTGAGAGAGCAAGGCAAAGGTGAGAGTTTTATTAGTTGATTATTATTTGAATTTTAAGTTTGGTTTTGATCTTTAGTTGATGGATAAACTTAAGGAAAGCTTGGGTTGCGGTAA